AGCAGCATGACCCATCTCGATCAACAAGGACCGATCTTGGGCAAGGCGGTGAACAGCAGCATGGCGAATGTTGGAAATGGAGTCTTGCCAGTCTTTGACGGCCCTGCAAATTTCCCGAACAGTGTCGGAACGAACCTTTCTCTGCTGTTTGGCCAGAACCCTGAAGAAGATATGCAGCTCAAGCGCCTCTGGACACGTCCATCCCAGGGCTTGCGATTCAGATAATAGCCACTTTTGGGCAAACTAGAACGCATTCTGTTCGAGACACCTCTGCATCGTTTGTAGAATGAAGTGCTGGGCTTGATATGGCACGAACCCCTCTGGCATTCCGGACAGCAAGTATAAGTCTCGCAGGGCGACTATCGAGTGCGATGAATTAGCATATAGTATTTGATAGTGAAAGTCTGACATACCAGGAATGTTTCTTCTTTCGATATGTATTAGCAGTTCTCTCAGAAAACTGCAAAAAATTCGATTAAAATTAAATTGAATTTTCCAAGGAGTTTCACCCTTTCATGGACCGTACCTTTTACTCGGTATCGCGGGTTCTTGTAATGATGCAGGGGATAGATTTCGTGCTTGAGTCAAGGCTCCAACCGCCCTGGAATTGATGCACCTCTGGCGGCGGCGCTTTCTCCTGCATCGGCCCCTAGGCATATCCTTTATAGCACACGGCACGGCAGACTCAGAGTGGCGCTCCTGTCGATGAAGGGACAAGCTGTCTTTGGAGGAACCCAGAACATCCCTCTTGATTTGATGATCAGAGCTCATCGAGACACAAGCAGTCATGATTGCAGTGAAATCAATCAGACCATAGTGTGAATTGTACTGTAGGATGAGAATTTCATAAGCATAAACTAGAAGGAAAAGGCGGAGAAGGGGTGATCGAGGTGGCAAATCTCTGGGTTCTCGAGTTTTCCCCACAGCCTGCAGATTACCAGTGAACGTACTTGTGATCCACTATTCTAACGTTTCACCACTTCCGTTTATCAACGCACTGTCAACATCTCTGGTTCTTGATGGTGTGGATGTGTTTAAATGGATGTTGAAATAATGTTGAAGAGAATCAGCCGACCGAGTCATGCCTCGATTGTCCCGTGGTTCGCCCTCTTCGCCAAGAAGCACTCATGGTTTGCAGAATTATTTGTTTTCTGCGCTGAGTATTTTAAGCAATCCTTCGCGGAAGACTGCATAGTACGAAAGCTATAGTTCCATGGAGCCTTAAACCTTCCGCAAATAAATTGTCCAAAACCCTCGACCTCCGATTCAAATATTATCCTTTTACAAAAATTCGTTGCCAGCTTAACCTCTGGGAAGGTATACAGCTAATTACTCTTACGCATCTCTCTCACTCGATATCACATTCGGAATGACAAATCGCGTGACCAAGACGCCTCCCTTTCGGCCAGGCAAATATACTGCCTTGCTTGCCAAAGCTCTCGAAGATGAAGCTAAAGCAAAAGGTGCCCGCCGTGAAGCTAGGATTGAATCCCAATCTAAGTCGTCCGTGTCAACTCAAATGGAGCTTGAAAGCGCACTGTCTGAAAGGGAGGAGCAGCACGAAAGCCGTCATGGCAGCAAGGCTGTACACAAACCCGATCGAGAAACGGAGTTGGTAGATTCTTCACCATACAGACTACAAAACGTGCGAACAACTGGTCAGGAAATAAGTCGAACTCCCGGAAGCCAGGGATTAGCTGACATAAGCCGACTGCATCCGCCACGTCCTCTTTTCTTGGGGGAGGGTTGATTGAATAGGATTGGCCAAACAACAACACCTTCTCCACGTAAACCTCGGGTCCGTGCAATTCCTAGTCGTCCGTACACCCAGCACTCCGGCAAAGAAATTATTTCGGCCTGCTTGCAAGGACAAAGGTGTGGGTACCCCTGGGCCGGATTGAACCGCTTGAGCTTCAGTCGGCTAGAGGTGTCTAATTAGTTTGTCCTTGGAATTAGAGCCTCACTAGTGGCTGTTCCGGTTCTCCGAATTGTGCTCCGTACGAAGTCGACGATCTATGGCTGATCGTATCGCTAATATGCCCGATGAGAGGCTGTATGCCGGGGTGTTATGATCTCCTCCGAAGGGTCTTCTGAGCTAGAAAGTTAATGAGGTAGCCGGAATTGGCAATAGGAATGGCTGGGTCTAGAAGTACTGAGCATTGATCTCCAAAGTGGAGCTGAGTGTAAAGGGCGCCAATCAAGTCGTTGCAACCGGCAACAACGCTAAAGCCCTCGTAAGCTTTCGGACCGGGAATACTAACCCCAATTAGGAAAAGAGTCTGCTACGCGTTCTTCTGGAAAGTACCATGGTTAGTGAACATCTCGAACTTGGCAAATGTATTACCAGTGCGAATCACGAAAAGACTCGATGTTGGTGAGAGGAGAATTTCGAGACTTAGCAATATTTCTGCATCACTAGTCGGTGCACAGCAGACAAAGAATACGAGTTGGACGCTCAGCTCCTCCATGCGAGTTCAAGTCCTCCGAGTCCACCTTCCAAACACCAAGGGACCTACGATGAAATATAAAAAGTTCAGCTCTGCTCAAAGATAAAATCGTCCACGTCCTGCAAAATTCACGAAATGCGTACTTTACAATGCCTCCTCGGTCCTGCTCAGAGCCTTGCCACCGCAAAGAATGCCGCATCCCCAGTCTCTCCCTCACAGACTATGGGCTCTACCTAAGTCACCAACTTAACAATCGGATGCTGAGCCTTGGAAACTGGAATCTCCCCTGCTTCGCACTCGCAGATCAACCACGGAACCATAAATTCGTGGGTCGAGACGAGATCCTACACTTAATGGACGAGAAACTCCTTCCTCAAGAGTTATCTCATCCCGCTGATATGACCAGTATCCGCAGCTTTGCAATCTGCGGAGGGAGTGGTATTGGAAAAACCGATCTGGCTATTGAATATGCCTACTCGAGACGACACCAATTCGGGGCTGTGTTTTGGCTGCACGCTGGCAGTGCGGCTCAATTGATGACCGACTTTTGCCAAACACGAATAGCACGCCTTCAAAACTGCCAATGACAAGTGGAAGAAGTGTGATCGCATCGGAAGCAGATCGACGGCCTTCCCCTCCTTCTTCCTTGTCGCGATCGCTGGCCGCTGCGAGAGCCTGCTCTGCGAATCTCGGACTGCGGTGAGCCACCAGCGACTTGGAAAGACCGCGACTGCCTTCGATTTCCTCCGTTTATCTTCAAAACAGTGAAGACGAGGATAAGAATGCCTTCGGCCTGTACCTCCGTTAGTCCTTGGTCCAGCAAACAGTCGCATCCGAACGGCCTCATCGAATGCGGTCGCTGCGCAGGATGTGCAGTGGCCTCCACTAGCACCACGAAGACCGAGTATGGCACCTGGTTCGGATACTCCGGGTCGACTGAGCCCGCATCAACACGAGTTGTTACACGAATCGGGTAACAACACCAACGGCCAAAACACAGTCGAGATCATTGTCTTTGATCGAAAAAGCGTTCAGGCGCAATCCATCGAGAAGATCCTTGATAAAAACGAGCTACTGGAACGAGACTTCTATGGCATGGCTGAAAAGAGGGGTAGCGTTTAGAATTCGGGTGGTTTGGCACCTGGTTCTGCTCAAATCGAGGCAATAGAATGGATCACGACAGCCGCCTCTAGTAGGCTAGGGGACAATGGAACTGTTCATCGCGGTCACCAAGTGGAAAAGCTCTATTCGTTGGTTCGCGACTCAGCCGCCTGTCCTGGTCACGTAAGGCAACACCGTGAGGTTGACACCACGCCGGTCAAATGAACGTCAATGCTGCCCGCGAGGCATGGGAACACAATAAAATGTATCGACAAGCATCCGCCAAAAGTCCTTCCGGTAACTCGACCCTCCTGAAATGTGAGAGCTGAGCGTATGAATGCTTCAGCTGCGCGTGACGAAATCACGGGCAGGAATGGAGGCCCTCATTATCGATCACCAGACTCAGAAGCTGGATATGCCGGCTTATCCAAGGAACTATCGATCCTCGCATACCGAAGGCATGTCCGCCACAGTGCGTAACAGGTGTCATAACAGACTCTGCAAAGCGGCCCGGTCCGATTTCGAAGCCTAACCCGTGCGAACAGAGGGATCTCGACCTCGTCCCACCGACAGATCCCATGGACCTGACAGCAGTCGAGATCTGTGCAGCCGACTTCCAGATCCTTCTGGTTGAGTCTACCTTCTGTCAGTGTCGCTTCACGCCTCGGACGAGGCGTCAGCGGATTGGCGTGGCTACCCTTTGGGACACCATGCTCAGCCCCAATTGCTCGCCAGGATCATTTCTTACCACCCAGAACATGTCAGTCGTGAATCAACTCTTTCAATCCCCTAGCTAATGGCTGGCAGGGACGAATGAATTGGAAGAACGGTACCAACACATGGAGCTAGCAACGTTCTGCGAGCTGTTCGCCTAGCTTCGCGTGACCGCGGTTACATCCGCACGCTATCAAGGCAGAGCGGAGTGTTTCCGGCTCACCAAGACAAGATGAACAGCAGAGCCCGCTGACTTCCAAGAGACCGGGATCGATATCGTGATCGCGAGGGGGACGCCCCTTTTACTCCCACCCCAAACCAACACCACAACCGCCGTAGATGCCGGATTCCGTCGCCACCGGTCACACCTGTTAGGGCCGGAACTGCTTCAGCAGCCTGCAGTCTCACCGCGGGATATATGACCAGGCGGGAGGTCAAGTCGAAATGACGCAGCTTGCACTCCAGTGGAAGTTCAACCAACCTACGGTCTTGAACAATGTATATTTCGCTCCACGCGCCGCGGGTAGTCTGTGAGAAAATCTTTCGACCAACCAACAATGAGCAACTAGCTGCCCTTGATATTGCGGCTGCCACTCCCCAGCGTCTAAAAGCACTACTCAACGTCCAATACCTGTGCGTATTGTTCGTGAGAGAGTACTCTCAGAAACAATGTGGTGCTCCGAGACAGTGACACACCATGTCAATCACCAATCAGCTTCAACTTGGTGCTCCTGCTTGTCAATTGCGGCGAAGGCCAAAACCATTACGGTCTGGACGTCCGCCGCGACCGCCGCCAAAGCAGTCTGAGTTCCGGCCACGCTTGCCGCCAGTGCTAGCCGCAATGCGTCGACTAATCGCCTTGGATGAGAAGCCAGCACCAATTTCGATGTCTGGTTCCTCGACAACCATTCCCGACTTAATGGGACGACCTCCGCTGCCACCGTACTTCGCCGTGAGCAGCCATTTGCGATCCACATTGGTAAGTCGCTCGATCGGAATGACGCTGATGCCAGTCTGATAGTCGCTGCAGTCACGCGGGCCGAAACCAACGCCCAATCGGGTGCGGAGTTGCATCTCGCCTGAACGGAACTGGGCGCTCACCGCGTCCTCGCGGCTAATCATCTTAATGAAAGCATGACGCTTGTCGATATTGACAATACAGGTCTGAACGACGCCGAATTTGTTGAAAAGGGAACGGAGGTGAGTCTCAGAGGAGATGCCACTGACGAAGAGGGTGCGGCTCAGAACCTTGATGTTACCCGGGCCGATGGAATAGTCCCACTCGACGAGCTTGGAGCCAGGCGAGGGGAGATTATGGTCTGTCCGCAGCGGGGAATGAGACAGGCGCTTCCAGTGCGGAGGGCTACGTTTACGGTATTCGTTACTCTGACGACCTCCAGCATCGCGAGGATCACCCTGGCGCCTAGTGGAATCACTGTAATACTGGTCGTGCACCGGCCTATCGTGGCGGCGAGGCGGCGAGGCAGAGTGACGTCGGTCCCAACCAGGAAGGTGAGAAGGACGGCCGTACCCAGCGGGAGGAGAGCTAGAGTATTCACGATCCCTCCTGCGAGCACGATCGACACGGTTCTGCACGTCCGGGTGGCCCTGGACACCAGAGCCCTGGCACGGTATCGCGCCAAATCCAGGAAGCTGAGCGGGGCTGGCAGCACCTATGGTATCGGCTATAGTGACGAGTTGCAGGGCCGCAGCCCACTGGTCCTGCGAGATGCCCTGCTGAGACAGTAATTGCAGCAGGGGAAGCTGCCGGGACATCGCGTTTCCATCCATCGCCGGAGCGGCGGCTGGCCACTGCGGAAGCATTGCTCCCAATGGGCTCGGGGTCTGGCTATGGCCCCGGGGCTGCGGCATGGCAAGGTTCTCGCCAACACCACCAAGAGCGGCAGCTGGTTTGACCATGGCGCCAGCATCAGCAGCAGCACCTGTGTATGGGTTAGCCGTCGAGGGTGGCAGGAGAGATGAATCGACTGATAAGGCGAGATGCCGAGCCGCGGCTGATGGGGTCAGGGTAGCGAGCGGGTTGGTGGGAGAAGCAGACGTCACCGCGCTCTGTTTAGCCATATCGGCCAGCGGCTTGAGTTCGCCGATGGTATCTGTTGCCGCGGGCGAGCCATTGGCAGGCTTGAAGCTGCGCGGTGAGCCTTTGGACTGAACATCTATGAACCAAGCCAGAAGCGATTGAATCAGAAGACGATGAGGGTAAAGATCCGAAGGTGGATACTAGCTATGTGGTGGAGCGTTCAGTTTCTCGCGGAATGAGTTGAGCATAGAGGGCGGGAAGGAGCAGCAGCACTCCCAGATGTCGACGAGCTTCTTGATCTTTTCCTACAGAGTCCAGAAAGGCATACGTGAGTGATAAGATCTGCAAAGCAATGAAAACGCAAAAAACTGCCAGCACCATGTCCAAGGTTGAGCGGTCGCGGGAGAATACGGTCATTGGCGCGATTAGCACCCAGAGGCCCAGCCCCAGCCTGAACATTCACGCCTAGTGGATGCGTACCTTTTGATCTTGCGGGGCATTGTCGATGATGTCGGTCATCAACACGGGCAACAACTTGGTCAATCGATCGACACCACCAGCGTAGGTCCCATCCGGCGCGGCGCTTCGTGGAGACCGGCCAGCCTTTGCGAGTGGCGTCCACCCATGCCGGGCTATAGAGTCGACCACAGAGATCGCCCAGCTTGTGGGTGGCGGGAACCTTCTTGAAGTGGGTGTAGACTTTTTGGATGAGAACGGGTTCATCCTGGGGTGCAGGGTTAGCATCTCATCAACTTCATCTCGGCCATCTTAACAGTCTCAACCATCCCAACAATTAAATATCTCAGGAGTAGGGAACGTGTCCTACTTGAACATTGGCGGTGCACAGTCTGGTGATACTGTGAACCTTGGAGCCTGTAATCCCGGGAGGCTTCAAAGCCAGCATGGACCGAAGGTAGCTATCCAGTTCCGCTACAGCCGACGACATGATGGGCTCGCGGAGTCTCCGCGAGACAGTAACGTTTCAAACAGCGAGGATCCTGGGTATGTGTTCTTTGCCGGGCGGTGTTATGTGACTCTTAAGGCGGTCTGCAGCGACCAAAAACAGAAGACAGCCGGCGGCGGTTCTACTTGCGAAGCGAGCAGAAGAAAGAAAAGTTGTCCAGGGGAAAGAAAAACTGTAAGCCATTCGGGTGTTTATTTGTGACCATGTTCCATCGAGCACGAAATATCTTGTCGATCGTTGCAAGTCCTTCAAGTTACAGCACGTGTATTCACTGTCGAACCAGAGAATCTGCCGCCTTCAGCTGGAATAAAGCCCAAGCGAGGAGAGAAGGGACTGCCAGTGGTTGCTGAAACAAATACGCCGGTCGCGTGAATTACGAGGACAAGGAGTGTATGAGTGTAGAGGTACGACTTACCGTTTACAGTAGAGATCTCATGAGGTCCGTCCTGCCTGAGAGGGGCGAATCGCCGACGTATTTACGTTGTACGCAACCCGTGGACGGGGCGACAAGAGAAAAATAATGGAAATGAGAGGAGGGGGACGGCGGACTGGGGGGACTCCGCCATAACCCCAAATTCTACTATGTACTTATCACGTGACATATGAGCACAACGTCGCTCCTGCTGAAGACAAGTTGATTCTGAGCTTCAAAAAATGCACACCTATTTTATTGCCGAGCAGAAAAGCGTAGAGAATTTTGTGTTCAGTGATATCGATTTCACCCGAAAAATGGTTCTGGGTAGCTGTGGGAAGCGATGAAGAGGAAGCCATGATGGTGCAAAAGCTGGCTGTCCTGAGGGAAGCGAACACAGACTGTTTGCTAGTAATATATAGAGCTAACATGGATGCTGGGCCAAGGCTCATGAACACCAAAAAAGATTCTCCGGCTTTTTTCAGCCGTTCCAAACCTGACCTTGGTCCCAGGAACCCAATGCTGCTTCCAGAAGCATGGTAAATTGTCACGAGGAACAAACCTGTTGGACTATAGGATCGCAGCGGAGGCCAGGATTCATCACGCAGACTCCAGGGAGCCTCGCCTACCCTGGGAACGTCTAGTCTATTCCCTCCTGTTACCAAATTGAGGGTTGCTCCGTGGCAAATACGTTTTATAAATAATCTCCGACCTTTCATAGATTTAGCTTAGGATGGAAAGGCGACCTGAATATTAATTACTCTTGAGGATTTCCTACAGCCGACTATCAGCTGGTTATCTAGCATGAATAGCTTGCTCTAAATTGATACTGTATTGGCAGGTATTGTGAAATTTAATTCACCCAAGCTTCTTTGTTGTGTAGCTAGCACCGGTAAAATGTTGGAATTGAGGGCAATCAAAATATGTGGTATCGTCGGAAATCCCAACGCCGGGATGTCCACGTTGGCTAGAGCATATGGAACCGTTCAACATCAACACCATCAACACCATCAACACCATCAACACCATCAACACCATCAACACCATCAACACCATCAACACCATCAACACCATCAACACCATCAACACCATCAACACCATCAACACCATCAACACTTCAACGCCATCAGTACCAGTATCAACACATAACCAATCTTTCCCCCTATTCATAATTGCGTGTGAAGTAAATTAGACTGCAGTAGTCGGGTTTCTCACCTACTACTGTAAACGGAGGGCTGTTGACCCAATTCACTTGACACTTGACAAACCGGAAAAAAGTCATTCCTGCTGGCTACTTTATCGTTCTGTTCGTGTAGTCCGATAGAGCAGAGCGGTAAATGGGATGATAATGGCTGTAAGCGATTCGAGAGGTAAAGTAGTGTGCCCGGTATAGTTCAAATTAATATAGAGCATCTTCAGGCACTCGTCATTAAAAATATTGAGCATAGTAAAATTACGTGAATTGACCCAATTGGTGCAATCTAAACGGATGGCGGAGCCCCAAGTATTTCATAGCAAATGCTTGTGGCCCTATGCCATGCTTTGGATGGTTGGACCTTGGGTTATTGCAAAAGACCGCCTCCCTATCGGCGTGAGAAGGGAGCACCTCGTGCTGTCTCTAAGAGCCTGTTATCTCGTTGGGCTGTATTCTGGTTGAGCAAGACTAGATACATTACCACGTAGGCTTTATGATGAAATCATATGCTGAATAATATTCAAAGTCTTTGAAATGCCTTGGCTTTTCCATCACCCAAAGCGTACCTGAAGATTCAATCACTAACATACATTGTTGATCGCATTAAATAAGCCGTCTTTGCTCACAGACCCAGTGCACATAGTTCCAGAGCTTGGAAAATGATCGATTCTCTCGTCCATCGCGACTCGGTGAATATGATTCATGAGCTGCAAAATAATAAGCTTTGAACCAAAGAAAAAGTGAAGGTCTACTCATACCATATGACGATGCTTCGGCCGACGGCAGTTCTTGACTCTTGACGCCATCTGGCGCAACCTCAGGAATGTCATGGAGCCATCGTCTAACATTTCTGCAACTGATAGAATCACTGCTTGAAAGATTGCATCGTGTGTTGCTGGTGGCTCTCGGACGTCGAGATTTTCCCCGGCCCTTTGAGGTTGTCGTCCGCCGCGACGGTCTGACACGACCATGGCGACGTTTTCGTAGGATATGGTATTTCTTTCCTCGTAAGGATTCAACAGACCGTTTCACCCCAACTTGGTCCAAATAGGCACCAGAGCGAGCGATCCATGGCAGTTCGCTGTTCTCCTCTAACCAGGGAAGAAGGTTATCTTCCTCCCGTTTAGACCATGGTGTTGCATTGCGCGAGTACATGGTGATAATCTTGTCCCGATGGTTGGAGGCTGGCTGGTTATGACAACAAATAGAGGACAGGTAGGTAGGCTTTGTTGAGCTTTAATCCTCTCGTTTCGCATAATCTAACGCCCGCTCCATTTAGCAACAGAGCGGCTCACAATTAGGTAATATATTCCGGCTGTTTAATTTAGGTCAACTAAATTGATTGACAGACCTGTTTTAACGTTGATAACACAAGTAATTCTCATCGTTGCTAAAAAGAACTGGGGACGTACTTCACACGCTTTTGCCAGGGAGGTGGAGAATGTAACGTCAAATATACTTCGAGGTCAACCATGGGACTGAGAACAAACCATTTGTCATTTTGATAATTGAACATCTCAACGGTGAAACGAAAGGTTTCAAAGTTGGTGCCATTCGACTTCATTCATACATGGCTCTGTGCCTTTGCTGTCCGATAGGACGAAATGCACGTTGAGTTTGTGGGACCATCAACGTTGGCCTGAGAAAACTTCAGACGGTCTTAAACTGATTACAACATGTGGCGCCGGAAATGGAAAGTATGGAAAACCATGGGATTTTTGGCTACAACTCAATGGGCAAGAGTTGTGAATTAACGCAAAAAAGCAAACACCGTAGCTCGATTTAAAATCTATATAATGACCATCATCTGAACAACGTGAAACAAGAGCCACGCGACCTCTTCCCCGGTACTGGACGTCAACATGGGAGCGTTTCGAAAGTCTACGTATTCCGCACGACGGCCCGATTTTCGGAGACAACTACAACGAGCCCTGAGCCTGTCCTCTTTTGAAACAGAGGATACTCAAAGTGTGTCAAAGTTATCCGCTGGTAACACTACCGAGGACCAGCGATCAATTCACTCGGAGAACGATGGATCTAGCGTGCAAAGCGGCAGTGTTGGACGTAACCACGAAGCCCAGATTGATCCTGCGTTGTTTTCGACTGCTCGAGATGTGGAAAAGATTGAAGGTCAGAGAGATCTTCCTGAGGATCGCGACATGATTGCCTTGGAATGTGTTGCAGAGTGAGTATCACAGCCGTGACCTTTGAATTACATGCGCTAAGATTGCATTTGGCAAAGGCTAGATGTCTGAATGAAGTAAGCCGATCTTGGGTGCATTATCTGAGGGAATTTGTGCGCTAAATGTTGAAATAGGAATGTGGAATCCTCCATGAATAACCAAGAAAGCTTGAATGAAGTGGTCCGCAGTGATTTGGCGAACATCCTCAGTCGATTGGCCATTATGGAGGAGAAAATCAGCAAGGCTGACCCAGACGAGAGGCACGCTTCTTCGGAAAATCGTCAGACCGAGCGAAGACGGTTTTCGAGACGATAAACGAGACCTATTTCAATCATCAGCCTTTTGCTGCTCCAGGGATTGATTTCAATAATGGTGGCCTCGCTACTTTGTGATTATAAAGGACTATCATACATTTTGGTTAAAAGACTAGTAAAAATCGACAGTTTACGTGAATCGACGTTCTGAGTATAGCATTCGCCGATAGCTGATCTATAACAATATTGCGAACTCATGCACTGCATCTGGAACGCGAACCCTTGTAAAATAGGAAAAGGTTGGGGTATCCAGAGAACAGCGAGAAATGGAACAGGAGTGAGGAAACTCTATACAGTACCATAAAACTTTTACGGGATCGTAGATCCCGGCCGATCATAATTATTGTCAAAAGTTTGAAAGTGTTTCGGGCACTTTGCCGGGCAGGGAAGGCTGGACTTTGCCTATGATTTCTGTCGGTGCCGACCCACATTGTGCATCGAACACTCTGAGGAGAATCCGTGAACCTTGGCAACCGGAGTCATTTAATACGAGGGCCAGACCGCGAACCTTGATCGGCGGTGGCGCGGAACATCCTCTGGAGAAGAATTTGTCATTGCGGAAGAGATCTAACCAAAGGTGAAAAAAGTACGGGCCTAGCGGACCCCTTTACCAATTTCCCCCCCGTGCGGCCCGAAGGGCACGCTTTTTCAAACGTGGGGCGGTCTCACAACCAGAATGTTATGCGTCATGCATTGTCTCTACAAAGCATAGTTCTAGAAGGACTCTGGTCTACGTAGATTTCTGATATCAGAACATGTCGGCTTTCTACTAGATAAATCAAATTCAAACCATGGAAACTGACTCAACGGCAAGAATACATTCGCATCACAATTTTGCCATTCACCCTAAAGCAAGGGTGGTGTTTTAGCTTGTAGTTAGCGCTTGGTAGGGCAGAATGGAATATTCGCCCATTCCGGAAAGTTCGGGTAGTGAAGTAGAAATCAGAGGCTCTGGTGCGCTTCCTTGACCAGGCCACATCCCATGCACCACTCCAGAACCTGGCAAATAGGTAGCCAGCTCTCGGTTTTGAATCGCTTCCACACTCCTCCAGAACTGCGTGGCAGCTAATACCAGGTCACCGTGTGCCTGATACAACACCGGCTGGATATCATTCCATACCACTTGGCCCTATATAGTGGAATTGAAAGACTCAAGCTGCTGTTGCAACTGATTGATCTCCATTTGTAATTTTTTTGCTTCGCCCGAGACCTTCTCGTTCTCCGCCAGTACCTTTTTCAATTTGGCCATCTCTTCTGCCTTTTCCATTTAGAGCTGCTAAATTTTCTGGGTACTTTCAGTTCGCTCTCGGTCCTGGTCCTCCCAGGCCTTACAAAGCTCCTTCTGAAAATTGCTCGCCTGCTTTAAGCATTGTCTGTGAATTAATCGACTGTCTTGGCTGTCGTCTTCTCGAGGTCTTTTGTGTAGGGATAACAACTTGTAGTCAAAGTTAATATAGGATCAAATATTGTGAAAAGGGCGAGCAAAAGGCTGTTTTTAATTGAAGGATTCAAGAAACCGAAGAAACCTACCTAATCCGTAGCTGAGCGCTTAACTAATCGTAGTATACGGTGTTCAGCGGTGTTAGAGGCAACCGATCGTCGCGAATAAGCTCTTGCTAATTCGCTGATTTTGCAGTCTGAGTTTGATCTTGAGCTACTATTCTCACTCTGCGTAGACTTAATATGGGGTCGCATCGTGGAATTTCAGCCCAAGGACAATTGGAAGCTCGCGAGTAAGAGAAATAAAGACGATAGTCGCTCCCCTTAATAGGGAACTGATCGATTATATATAGGCGATCATGAACAAAATATAAAACAAGAGACGCCCCTAGCCAGAATTCAGGTCCTACAAAAGCTGAATTAACATCAAAATGTTGCGCCTTGGTGCCATTGAGACAACTCACCGATAGCTAAGAAGACGTTAGTGCAGAAGCTAAATTGATGCTAGCTAAAGAGAAATGTGACCCGCCTGCAGAAATATACAACTTGGGGGAAAAGCATACAAAATGCACACTACCATTCCGAACCTGATAGGGAAAATCGCTACACCTTACTTTCATTGTGGTCAAAATGACCTTACAATATTAGCAAAATGACTCACTAAAATGATAAAGTCACAGCAAATAATTCCACTATAATGTATCTCTGTTTGAACCATCCGTAATGTAGAGCCTGGCGTTGAATTCACCCAAGTTCTTTGTTTACAACAGGAACTGTTTCAGATCAATGCTACAACAACTTAAAGCTTAACACCCACAGGCCCATCTAGAGTATCTGCTAGATTTTGACCTTTGAATGGAGGTAAGATAATCATAAGGTTTCCTCTGTGCATCTAGTCACAATGTGATGATCGAGGGACCTGGCGTAGCGATAGAAATGAGGAACCTCTCTTAATTTAGGAAATTCCACAACAGCAACTTGATTTATCACAAAGCGTATTGCTAAGATTCGGTTCGTAAACCATTGAAATACCGTAAAAGAAAATTTCCTTAATTAACGCGCTGAGTTCACATTAAAGAGCATGACTATAGCAACGCCTACGTAGCCCCAAACTGAAAGCCCCTGGCCCGGGGTAAAAAGCTAGCTCACTCCATTTTAGCCAGTAAGAAGTAGATTTTACCGCAAGTTATTTTGCAGAGGTTGCGCGCTGCCTGGGTCTTGCTAGCTATAAAGGACCAGAGTGGGTCAAAATGCAATAGCCTTCGTTCTAGAAGTTTCCTTCCAGATAACAGCACCTCAAAGCCTAAAACTGTCAATAGGAACTAAATTAACTTGCCCCTAGGCCATATAATCTTTTTCAGTTATAAGATTTCCTTAGACAGAATGATTTGTTTCGGAGAGTCTGGGACGGCCATAACCAGGGTACGAGTTACCCGCCTTAAGAGGCCGGAATAAGCAAGAGCCGTGCGTGCTTGACTTCTCAGGACCCACCGGCATTAACCAAGACGTACAATTCCAAATTCAAAGCCGTTAATTCATAGGAAATGTGACTTAAAACAGCGCGTTCCATAGATCAGCTGTAGGGATTCGTACATGCATTATTTGTCTATTCCATTGTTGACTTCTGGGTTGTTGGAACAGGGGCATTTCCGCCCACAAAAGTGCGAACACGATCATTGACAAATATAATTCCAATGTTTGCTCGCCCGTGGATCTCTAGTAAAATAACTTTTGTGGCTTTACTCGGGCAATTCCTCATCAGGGTCACCTAGTCCTATTTCTCCAAACCAGAAAACCCCTTAGACTCGAAGGAGTTTTCACAAGTACTGATTCGCGGAGATTCGATAGGATGCGGAGTAAAATTAATCGTACTTATTCTCATTCATCTTGTTTGTAAAGTAAATCACGCGAACGGAGTACGGTACATCATGACTTTTGAAGGTGAACTCCCTAGGATTTTCTACAAAATGAATTCCATTCTTGTCTGATTATGTCACACAAGCCAGTATAATAATAATCAGGCCCTAACATAATATTTCATTTGATCTCGTTTGTCTCAATTCACAGCTTCACAGCGCTCGTCTTTTCATCCCGGTCCTACACTGCCATGGACACAATCATTACCAGCTTGCCGCCCAACGTGGGAGCCATCCTCATCGAGAACATCTCCATCATTCAAATCATATCCATGTTTTCTATTGGTGCCTACAACGCCCTAGAGACAGGAATTGCCGTGTTCGACTCGTTCAAACACTACCGCGGGCTATATTTCTGGAGCATGCAGGTAGCATCCTGGGGCATACTGGTCCATACGATCCTAGCTATAATACGATTTCTATCTCAGTCATCCAACCTGGCTATGTCAATTCCATTCATTTTGGGGTGGTATGCTATAGTGACTGGACAAGCCGTGGTGCTCTATTCCCGCCTAAATGTGCTCGCGACTAACCCCGTGAAGCTCTGCTAGGTGCTGTGGATGATTGTTACAAATTTTTTCGTACTGTATATTCCGATAACGGTACTCTTCTACGGTCTGAATAGTGGTCAAAGTGTATTCGCTCGACCGGCGGCTATCTATAATCGGATCCAGGTGACCGGATTCTGTATACAGGAATTCGTTCTCTCCGGGGTCTATATTTATTAAGCACTAGAACAAAGGAGAATTAAGCGAGACCTATATCACTAAGACGACCGGAAAATCATTCGTCATTTACTGTGGATCAATATTCTTGTTGTTCTGATGAATATACTGCTGCTCGTGGCCGAGTACAAGCTTTATTACATCGAAGTCAGCCTCAAAACCGTGGTTTATAGTATCAAGTTGAAGCTGGAATTCACGGTCTTGAATCGCCTAAGAAAGCTGGGATTTACATCGCCTCCCCCTCTAGCTTATTAAATGACCGAATACGCCCGGTATAAGAGCGACGTCAATCTGGTGGGACGATCACGCCTCCACTTACGCCAAGAATCCAACTCCGAATCAGTGTATACGGAGTGTGGGATCAAGGTGCTACCTCGTGTCTCGCAGCGACCTCGTATTTATGCCAATCGTGAGACTAAGTGTGATGCTCAATCCGATGATACGAGAGTCCGGGGTGCGATCCCGTCTTCGAATCGGTTGACGGCTCCCTCAGCCTGCTCCTCAGATCAGTTAACGACGTCCTTGTCTACTCTGGAGTTGAATCTTTCAAACTTTACGTCAAAATTTGACGTGTAGGTCTTGAATTAACGCAGTGAGAAGTTTTCTCCAGGTGGTGACTCCATAATCAAATGGGTCTAGTGTTAGAAATTTAATTGAAGGATGCTCCTTGTGCGAGGTATTTGACGCTACATCTTATTAATTCTTATAACATTGATCAACATGAACGAGGCGTTAGATCATGACTCACTCTCGAAATGGGTTTTCTACAACGCCTGGCGTATTGGATTCTGTGAAGTTATATAGAAGTGGGGTTTGCCGAGTCTTACCCAGTTGGTTCATCAGGATCAGAGCATCTATAAAATATCCAGAAAGTCCTTGGAGACAAAGCACATTTGTTTCTAACAATATTTCATCAAAGGAGTATAGCCTGCTATAACTAATAAACATGGATCAAACTCAAATTTCAAAAACCGAATAACAGGCTATGCTTGTCATACAATCGGTGGTTCTTTTCTGGTACGCGAGAGTACGTTCGAATCATTTCAGCTATCCCCCGTCGTTGCTGCTTTTGTAGAACTCTCAAGTGGAGTGGCGACAGAGACTGACAGTTGCTAAGACTTGATTGTGAAGCTTTCTCGAAGGAAACCATATGGCATTCCCCCGCCTCATCGCAGTTATCACCTGCATCGGGATAGGCAGAGAGTGTAGACACCGCCCAAAATGCCATATCCTGATTGACAGAGACCATAGCGTAATATTTTTTTGAACAGTCGAGATTAGCAAACGTGACAGATGTCCGGCTATTGGAAACTAATTGTTGTCGACAGCCACAGAGTGCCTTCTGATCCGGAAAGCAAACTAAGATAGAGCGATTAGCCATAGAGTCAACCATTGGTCAGGTGAAAACCTCTCGGAGTACCTACCTGAGTGTCCATGAAATAGCGATGAATCGATAGCATCGCAGCCGTCTCCATGAAGCACGATATGATACTCGGGTTTAGAACGATGCGCAGCAAACGCGAATTCGGACCCTTTGGTCGTCCAGATAACTGACAGTTGAGCTTTCCCAGATTTGTCAATCTTCACGTAACAGGGCATATAGCGGAGACTGTTTCTCATACACCGAATAACCCAATTCTGAGTGGATATCGGGAGAGTGTGTTGAGTGTGCACCACATAAAGTGCCTTCCGGCAGAGCTCTTCCAGAAGATGATCACATAGGCCACCGGATCGGGGCACATCCTCCCGCGTCAATTTCGACGCAGTGCAAGGAAAGATGCAATGAAGAATAACAGGGTTTTGCCACATTGGGTCAACGTAAAGGATGTTATCATCGGGGTGGTAACTTATTGGTACCAAGTCATTCCGTCTCTCCAAGCGGATCTCAATATCAGGCGGCAAACCGGAAAGGACGACTATGGTATGTAAAACCAAGCGTATCTGTCGCGTAGATACGGTCTGGGGATCTGTTGATTCATCGCTATGTTTCTCTGGCTTCCCAGGTGTTAAAGTGGTTGCGATCTGACGGAGTCCACGAGAGAGCCTGGGAACTAGCTTGCGAGCATTATAACATAATGATGGTTCCTGTCGGAGAAGCATGAGCTGAATGATTGAGACTAGAATACCCTAAGCAGCGATTGCAATCTCACAGTAAAGAGCGCTTTTTTTGGGCCGAAACGCTGTGCGATAGATTGGTGAAAGGGGTAGGTTAGGAGCAACATAACTAATGCACCCGGGGACCTTTTGATCAAAAGTGGCCACATTAATGATAGTTGATCTCGGTGTAGCACTCCAAAAGAACTAGGGATATCGATACGGCGGACTAAAAGTTAAGAACAGGTGTTCTTCCCGTTATTATTGGTGCCAACCAGATTGAAATGCATGATCACAGAAACTAGGCGTGGGTACCTTGTCTCGGCTTACCTCGAGAATGGTCCTGGAATAGCAAGCGTTTTTCTATGACCAGGTTGGACTGAATATTTCTTCGGGGCAGGATTCTCGAACTATTTCGGAAAGACCCTTGCTTGTACCTGTTCATCTAGCAGAGAAGTCCTTTCACTGGGTTGGAAATAGTTCGAAATAAATCATCTTCTGCTCTTGCGTAAATTGGTCGAGAGAAAGAAAAGGGCGTTCGGAGTAGCACACCATTCCTAAGCCGTAACCCCTGAGAGCTTTGTCACTAATCAATCGCTCCAAGTAGACCGTCATTTGGAACCTTCCGAGGATTGAGCGATACATCCAATTTTGTGGTTGAGAATCGGTGAGGGGAGCACTCAAACTAGGGAGATTAACATGAGATTCAGTTATCCGGCCGCTCAGGGTCTTACCTGTATCTGTATATATCAAGAAATGAAGACTGTGAGCAATGAATAGGCCGAAATAATAATTCGCCTAATCCAACGCGTGATTGGAGACTTGCGGTATGTCTTGTCCACGGGGGGCAACAGTTTTCAGAACCCATTTCGCCTATCAAAGTTGATTTGGATAGAAGAGAGCTGATATATCACTTGATCACTTTATGTGTCGTGAAAGTCCAGAGCAGGGTTTCTATAGGAGTCGGCTTTATCTAAGTTCTAGAAGTGCAGTGTAGACGTGGGAATTCTGTGAGACAATAGTGTTGAAGGTTGTTCGCCGCATCTTTCAACGCCCGATCAGTGCCGTAGAGGGAACAACAATAGTTTATCGCCGTTGAATTTCTAGGGCCGTCAACAGGCAAGAAGTACCACAGGCCTCAATCCAAAGTGATCATATTCAAAAGCTGATTTGGAATTTACGGGTTAGCATATTAGAGACGGTAAACCTCAATAGTGTGTACAAAGCGGTCTATTGCCCAGGAGAGCGCTCAGCACGAGTTACATCTATCCATATTATTGTCGAACATGTACATGAATCGGTCTGGTCTATTGTAATTCTCTAGGCTAATTACAAGACCAAAATAGTTCCTGGGAGACACTACAAGGATACGGCTCGGATCAGTCTTCCATCGGCAGATCCTCTGGACTTTCGGTTGCTGTCTTCCCTGCTGTTACTTCCAAAACTTGAATTGCCTTAGCAATTCTGACTTCTGAACTCAATAGCTCGTTCCTGAAAATGCTGTTCTCGAATGTCGAGTTTTCTAGCTCGTTGCGAGTGTGAGAGAGGGCTTGATCTAGGCGGTAATTTTCAGCCTGTGACTGGCTCAGGTGCTCATAAGCGCAGCTCAACTCTTCTTTCAGCTTGGAAATTGCGACTTTAAGCTGCAAAATCGTTTCTGTAAAAGAACTGGAACATAGTTCTGCGATGTGACCCTGGATTTCAATGTGTTAGAAACCACGCTAACCACTCTGGAACAATCTGGACATACCTCATTCGCTTTGTCCTTTGCCGTGCGTTTCAAGACTTGCACAGGGACCGCTTCAAGAGAGCGCCCCAATTCCTCGCAGATGGATTGATAGAACCGAATGTTGCCGCTACTGAGACCTTTCTTCAAGAGTGCAGCAGTCGTACCCGTGGCTGACCAAGAGTAACCGTCACTTGGGAGGGGTTGCAACCGGACCTTGTCAGGTGCTATGGTGAGACCCAGTCGCTTATCCACGAAGAGGTTAGCAGTAATTTGAGAACCATCATAGGATCGAAGCTTACAGATGTGTGTGGACAAGGCCTCGCGACACTTGATTCTCAAGAGTGCTCGCTTAGAACTACTGGCTCTAGTCATTTTGGCTTTGCGATGTAACTGACGCTGTCGACGGGCAGCAGGCAAGAGCAGCTGCAGGAACAAATCATAGTTTTATAGAAGCTTGATGCCATTAGATTGGCTCTAGATATGGCAGTGGGCCTATAATCTTACCACTTACCATCGCTTTTCCTGTCCCAACCAACGTTTAACCGTTGAATACCCGCACTTTCCTGACTGCCGGGCTGAATGGCCCTCCGACCTGAAGGCGCCTATCTCTAGGTAGCACACCTCGAATGAATAAGGCAGTGTACCGCATGAAAGCCTGTAGCCTTCTGATTTGAGACATTATTTTCATTGCTGAAAACACTTACTACATCAGAAATAATATTTGGGTAGAATTTTGGAAGCAAACAATTCAAGCTTAGCCAGGTTGGGTGGTTTCATGTCTCTCGAATATATATAGCAAGATAATTTCATCTTCGTCTCTTCGCTATTGCTTCAAGTCGTGATGTCTCCCAGTACTCGCCAGGCGCTCCGAAAGAGCGTAAATAATATGTCCGACCCGGAGAAAGTCCCGCTACTGGAGCCATCCAATAACGTGAAGGAACTGGAAGCAACCGGAGATGAAAAACTTCAGAGTCGGTATCGGAACAATGGACGTGACTCCAAGTCTTCCTACTCCAACACTCAGACGATAATTCGAATGCGCCTTCGTCCAGGGCCGAATGGGCCACGTCTCTCCTTTCTTACCGTCTTTAAGGAAGGGACTAAGAAGAAAAGTGGGTTTCAAAAGATCCGCAGTCACGTTGAAAATACGAATCCCGAAGAAAAACGACACGATTGGATGGGACGACTGCGCCCAAAGCCTCATCGCTGCGTCAGCTAGTGACCGACGTCTTCCTTATACAGTCTATCTTCTCTCTGAGTTTGGATCTTTTACGGAAGATATTTTGGAATGTTCAGTTTAGCCCATTTGATAAATAGAGGACTAGATTGCTTGTCTGGAATCTTAGCAAAGCCATTATTATTTGTGTACTCCATGTTGTGAAGCAAGCTTAGTTGGAACCATTGCTTGAGCCACGCTTACCTTAGTTCATCTTGAATAAATGTCTGTTACTCTATGGAATTTCACAAACCGAGCGACCAGGTGTTGCACTATTTCCTTGCAAAGATACGTATGATGACTTCATCAAATTCGTAACCAAATATGGAAGTGTGATCATAATATATATTAAAATGGAGTTAATCAGGCGCAAGACGAATAGAAACAAGCTTCCAGTATTTGAGATGATCTACAATCAAGAAACACGTTTAATCGTTGCGAGAGCGTGTCAAATAAATGACTTATCAGGTTTCCCACTTGTCCTACTCTAGAAACAGCCCCACTTCAGGGTTCACAATTGAAGCACAGTCACGCGCGTTATCCAAAGAGGAACTGCTGAAAAATCGTCCAGATGGCGATTAAGACAAGTTGAACCTGGTAAAATAAACATTAGAATCCCGTAGATAAAGCATCCACCTCACGCGACTTACCTCCAGCGCAATAATCCACAGCTTCCAGACAGTCCCAATAGCCGCGCTAGCGAGCAAAAGCAGAACCATGACAGAGACATACAGCGCGATCATTTGTAACCTGCTTCGGCCCTGTAGCACTTGGCCAACCAGCCACCAATACCACGATGCTACCCCCAAGTAGTCTAGACACAAAATATAGAGAATACTCCAGTGTAAGCGGTCCCAGTAAAATGTTCCAGTAACAGCCACAACTACCTTCACAATACTAGACAATATAGCGAACATTGGACACACGATGAGAACACATCCGGGCAGAGTTGGGAGCCGTCGTTGTTGGAAGTCAATTCGAAGAAACTATGACTTGTTCAGTCCACATTCAAAGGTTGATAGAACGGTTAGCCATACCACTTGAAGGGTTGTGGGTATAGCGCTTAGTTGAAGAAGGACTTCCCGCCCCACTGGCTCTTTGTTGGCCCAAAACAGCCCTGCTAAAGTCGCAAAAATAATACAAGATAACGTACTTAGGCTGACATCCGCCTTAAAACGTGACCAGTCAGTTTTGCAATAAAACAGAAAGTACAGCCTGATCAAATGAATTAAAGCCAGAAAAGTCACCAAGCTTAACGCGGTAATAGACAAGGATATCATGGCGCCGTGACCACAGATCTAATAATTTCAATAGGAACTGACTGTACGGGAAAACTGGATGCAGGACTACAAAGCCCGGTTATTTATCCAAAGGAGCTTAACATTTCCTAGGAGGAGGATAGTCCCCATCCATGCATCAAAGAGATGCATTTTTAAAACTGCTGGGCCTCTCACGAGTGTCCGATTTGTGCATTCCTCAGGAAGCTAGAAGACGCATTATCCAGGATAGAAGCCACGGAAGATCAATTTAAACCCATACCGCAAAAATGACCGATAATAATAAAAGTGAGCAGATCACTAAGATAAGTTTATCGGTAACATGCTGCACTCTCGACATTCCATCCATATATATCGAACAGATAATCCCGTCTCCCAAAAATATTTGTAGTTATGCGGTTGACCTTTCCAGAGATCAAAGAGTCGATTCTAGCATTATCAATTCCACAGCTTTACGGTGCTGTTGTTGCCGTAATCTGTCTGATATGGCTCTCTTGTGCATATAGGACCCTTCTTGTGGCATAGTGCTGGAGGAAAGGGAAATATGTCCTCTGGCCGGGTTTGCTCTCTCATGTCTCTGAGACATGGCGCCAGAAAGGGTATGCAATCAGTTGCGTATGCCTCCGGTGGATTGACATCAATAACACGGTACAAGGCTTGTTTGTGGTCGTGCTGCTGGCTACAAACATTCTGGTTTTGGTCTTTAGTGCTAACTCTTGGCACACGATCATAGGGAGAGCTGGGCCACTTGCTGTACTCCACCTGGTCCTATTATGCTTTGGAATGTATTTTAGTCTACCGGCGGAAATTCTCCGTATAGAGAGAAACACATTTGCTTATTTTTATCGTTGGATCGGCTTCCTTTCAATGGTTCACTCGATCCTCCACGTATGTTTCATATTCGAATCCCCCGAAATCATGACAATGATACGACCGAGCTAAGTTGTGGCGATACTTGTGAGTGATTGTCCTATAATTAAGAGGCCCCTTTCGTAGCGCTTACTAACCTCAAGTAGGCTACCGTAAGCTTTATCCTAGCCGGAATCGTCACCTCTAGGTTTATCCGAGCGTATTATCCGCAGTTTGCCTTGAAATACTACTACCTTTTGATATGCTTTATAGTCGCTGGAACGGATTATTACCTTATACAGAAAAATTCACCTTACCGTTAGATACTACTTAGGGCTATTTGTTAGTAGTTAGTTTGCACGGTGTTTCTCGGCCTACGAGCACTGGTTGTATATCTACCCTGGAAATCCCTAAGCACGGCAGTCCGCCTCTCTACGGCTGACGGCATTCTTTGGATAGATTTATTAATAAAATCGAATCGACGATTCAGTCCCGGTCAATATATTTACTTATAGTTTCCACTAGCCGGATAGCGAGCGCTCACCTAGTATGTCCTGTGTTATGTCTCTGTTTGCGAATTCGAAGGTCTAAAGGAAAAGTGGAATATCCACATAATTGTTCGACCCTAACGCAAGCTCAACCGAGCCCTTTACTATCTTTACCGGCTATAGCGGACACAAAAGGCTTTTCGGAGGCAACCTGTCGCGGTCTTTGGGCCGTAGGGACGCTCACTTGAGCTGCCCTATTATGGAACAATTATCTTCGCCTTGGAAGACATTAGTCTTTTCCGAGCACTCCCCTACATTGAGATACTTCTTCGCGCAAGTTGCCAAAGAAGAGCTATAGTGCGTCGGGTTAAAGTTCTTTGGAAACGTGAGAGACCTTTTCGTAAGTTAGGCAAAGTTGACGAGAGTTTTATAGGAGAACTCACAATTTGAATAGATAATCCCGAATAGTATAAGCAGTGGAGGCAGCGGATGTTTGATACTGACCGGGATTATTTTGATGTAAGTCGGCCTAGACACAGACCTTGGGGTCACTACTAACAAAAGCTCACGAAGATTCTGTAATTTCGAATTTTTTGCGAAAAGCCCTGCTCCGAGAACCCGTCTAGTCAATATCGACGAATAGGAAAACGATTATAGATATATACTAGTGCAGTGGACTTTGAGATAGAAATAAGGCGGTATTTTGACTAGCAGCGTAGAAAGATGGCAGTTATAGGTGTGTAACTCGCTATACGCTTTGCGATTTACTCGGTTAGTTAACAATTAAATAGTCTGCGCTGGTCTAGATACTAATATAGCTGTTCGAAATACAGTTCAAGTGCACTTTCGGGGATCTGCACGGATTTTTGATCTAGATATAGGACCGAATTATAGCTAGTCGGAGGAAGAACATACTAGGAGAAGCAAGTCGTCGGGTCATCGTTATGGAGAATCTGCTTAATCCGAGTTGAAGGTGGTGTATAGCTAGGGGAGGGTTATTGTTCGCAAACTTTCGATATAGTCGTTTATTTCTATCTAAATTATTTATTACTTGAAGTTCAGATATACTCTGCTTTATTTGTTGGCGAAGTCTCTAATAAAGTAAAATATTTAATTATAAATCTTCTCGTATTATGATGTGTGTAATAGAGAAGTGAGTTACTTGAACTAGCTAGCTATTCTTTGGCCACGCAAAATGGCCTAAAACAGTACGAAAGATGTAGTTCCTTAGACAATTATTTTAGAACTAGTCGAGTTGGATAGAAGAATGATACTTATCTAAATAACATACTTCTCAATAGGTGACATTCAGAGAAAACTTTTAATAGAACGTGACAAATATAGATAAATCAGGATCACCTTTGTTTTCACCCATCTTGAGCCTCCCCCAAACAATGCCTCTTTTTAATTGCCCTGTAGTGGAAACTAATTTCTCCTAACTAGTATGTGGACCATTGAGTCTGCTATAGCTAATAAAATCGTTGCTTAAGACATTCGCGACGCTATTTCATCGAACACCACCCTCGAATATAAAACGAGACT